TTGCGAGTTTATCGGTTTTGATCTTATTGCATCTTGCTAATTTTATAATTTATTTGAGTGAATGAATGTTTGGATAAATTCTGTTATGCTGCATATTGATATATGCTAGATATGATAGTCATTACATATTTTGTGATTTTATTCGTTATGAATTCTTGCACCTTGCTAATTTTATAATTTATTACTTGTGTCATGTTCTACACCTGTGTGGTCCGATCTATGGATAGTAAATATTGAATATATGAATGTATGGATAAACTATGATATATTAGATTATGATACATGCTACATGTAAATAATCATTACATATCTTGTGTTTACTGGTTTAGAATCTACTGTATTTTGTTAATTTTATAATTTATATTATGTGACATGTCCTATATCAATGTAATCTGATCTACAGGATGAATAAACATGAATGAATGAATGAATGAATGAATGAACTGTCACTTTCTAGATATTCTACGGTCCTAAGAAGGCTACACCGAAAGATGCTTAAAATACAGAAATACGATTTGGATGAAGTATCGTAGTAACAATGATTTCTTGTTTGCTTCTAATTTCACTGGGCGTGGTAAGCATAATCCAAATACATAGGTAACAAACAGATGTAAATTCATGCGTAAATGTAGACTCTCTTTTCACACCATCTAATCAAAGTCCCTACCGTTCGAGACTAACTCGTAGATCCTGTTGGTCTCATTGTCTCCGTTACCGTTGGCAACAGTGATGGTCGGTGACGGTCGGTGACGTCGGTGAGGACGGTGAGGACTTCCTGTTACAATTGCATCCGACTGGCGTTAGGTGTAAGTTGTGCAATTCGTGGAGCTGAAAATGGCAGAGTATGAGGTGTGCGCTAAAGGTGTTCTGAAACTAAAAGGCGATTGTGGAATCAAAAAGTAAGTTTTAAACTAATCAATCGGAGACACGATTGTTTATTATTTTTGAATAGGTAATTATATTAATTGGAAATCCATGGGACAAATTGACATTTTTGCTGTCAATTGAAGGCACACATTTACTGGAACTGTATTCAATTCTCCCCTCTCCCTCTTCGTAAAGTTTTGTGTAACATTGCTGTAATTATCGAGAATGTGTAGTTCCATGTTGATTCAACATGGCACTGCCTTTATGCTCCACTGCATTTCTTCGCTGTCGCAATAATTCTTCATTGGTAATATATACACAGGCTTAAATAAAAGCGGGTATTATTATTTTGTTCGTAAGTACGCTATAACCTCACTTTCTTTTTTTCGTACTTGAGACATGTCGTATTCGCCAGACAACGGAATTTTGCATATTCAGTCATTACCCAATAGGATTTAACAGTAAAATAATTGACTTATGGACTTAATTTTACTCAGGGTTTCAGGATTGGAAAATAATGATAAATATACAGCTTTTAATGTAATGGAGACTTAGGTATTTTATCTCAAGCCATTTGGACGAATGTTTTCAAAGACGAACAGTTGTAACAGTAGTATGTAAAGAAACATGCAACTTGTCTAAGGAAACCCAATTTTTAAAATGCCTCATAATATTAAAAGTAAGAACAATGTTTATGTTGTGAATTGAGTAAAGAGTTATGTGGAAGCACACACTTAAACTTTCGGACATAAGTATTATGCTGGTATCCTGTGCATGTGACAGCTGTTGTTATATGGTTGGGCAGAAGTTTAAGCCAAATTAAGTTCTGTATTTAATTCTGTATTCTCTTAAAGCTCCCTGTTGAGTGACTGTTCATTAGAAAATCATCAACCATCAATCAGATTTTCGTGGAATTTGCTACGAGATATCTTTATATAACAGTAGTCTGTCAAATAAATTGCAAGGAATGCCATAGGGAGTTTTGTATACCACATTACAGAGTAGACCTTTTCTAATTTTTTGACAGACAAAACACTGCATCAGTAAAATGCAATTTAAAAACAAGCTCACTCCTAATGACAGACACTTAATTGCTAAATCATGTACTTTTGTGATCAAAACCTCGATGTCAGTTGCTGTACAAAAACATTTACTTAGCTGTCATACTTCACACTATAATAGGTGATAAAATATTAGTTTCTCTTCCAATTTTTGGTCTTATTGTTTTACTTTAAATTAGCTAATATTTTTAATTATTTATTTCGTCTCTCTAGGTCATTGTTACATGATATAGGACAAGTCAGTTGCTGTACATTGGCTGATTACAATAAGAGAATAAAATTACAATACTTAAAATTGTTTACAATAGATTACAGTAGATTACAATAGTTAAGATTTCACATAGTGTGAGGTGGAATCCATATTAGGTCACGTCGGCTTTCATATGTCCTATTGTAACTGTACTGGTGATAATACTTATGGAGAATTTGATGGAATGAGGATTGGCAGGGGAAACCGAAGTACTCGGGGGGAACCTGCCCCAGCGCCACTTTGTCCATCACAAATCCCACTTGACTAGACCGCAGCAGTGGGAAGCCAGCGACTAACCGCTTAAGCTATGGCACAGCTTTTGAGATAATGCTAGTGAATTAGTGAGTTATTATAATGTGCATGAATTTCATTTTAGGAGGAAAAAGAAGAATGATAAGAAGAAATTACTAGAGCAAGTATCAAAAATTGCTGAAGTAGAGAATGAAGAAAAATCTCAAGTGAATGAAGTAAAACGGACAAAAGCTGAACTGGCATTTCAGAAGATGCAAGAGAAAATGGTAAGATATCTTCAGAAATTATTTCTTTGGTTACCAAACTCATACCTTTTTAATTAGGCTTATCAGTTCAAAAAAATAACACATGTATATAGCGACTGGCGACATAGTATCCAGGTGGAGCACACTAAAGTAGTGAAATGTTATTACTGCAGACATAGTTATACTGCTGTATATCTTTTGCCATAGGGGTCAGAATAGTTTCTGTATAAAGGTATTCACATATTATGGCTGATTAACACTGACCATTGTATTTAATGTGAAAATGTGTGTTACTGGATCCTGAAGTTACACGCAATAATAGTTCTTCAGCAAATATGCAAGAAGATAGAATTTTTGTAGAAGGTCAAACAGCAAAATTGCAGCTGCATGAAATGTAGTTTTAGCTTTTGGTTTGATGATAACTAATGTAACACTGGAGCTAGGGGTGTGAAATATGCTACACACAAGTCATAAATGTACATGTGCGTTATTTATGAAACACAAGCACATGTGTCAATCAACAGTTACAGAAATGAAAGTGCAGTTTTTGGGGTTGTAATAAATTTATGTAGACAGAGTTGGTACTCGAGTAACAAGTTCTGCAAAACAACAAGAATAGTAATCTGTAACACTTTTAAAGCTGCATGGATGCTGTATTATCTTGATACTGATAGCATTGTTAAATAGCCAATCAAAAAAAAAAAGGTAAACTGCAAATGCCACTTAAGCATGCAAGCCCACAAGCTAAATCAGATTTCATTGTTTGATTCTAAATTTGCATTATCTAAGTATGATATTAAAAACACAGGAATCATAGGACTACATGATGGCACAGTGGGAAATATATTTTATGGTATACCCAGAACTCCTTGTTTGCGTGGCACTGTTTCTGCCATAAACTGTATATTATTAAAATGGTAGATCAGTACAGGGCATTTACCTGAAAGTATGAAACCAAAAGCAATAGTTTATGAAGAATTTTAGATTTTAAACTACACCGGGTCATTTGCATGAATTTGAGTAGGATCCGTAACCAACAGCTAATTTGGTAAAAGGTAATCAGGGTGACCTCCTTGCAGATTCCCTCAACCTTTTTTGAATAAGTTGAAAAATTACTTTTGCAGCTACTGAATATACATAGTTAGTGATGTTGGGCAGAGGGAGGAACATACAGCAGAGCTGGTAGGACCAGACATTTGTCCTTTTGGGGTTGAGATTAGATTGCCATTGAAAAGTTGGAAAGGTATAAATTACCAGTACCAGTGAACTGAAGTGAGGCAAAACAGTATGTTCATTAATTCTGTTATGAATAATTTCATCACTAATCACTGTTGAGATTTACCGCAGTTCAGTAATATTTAGTTCCATCACATATGCATTACATTTCTCTGTTGAATCAAAACTCCACAGAGCTGACTCTAAATCAGATTGTGTTACAGTGTTTCAAGAATTGTAGTGGGTGTGTATTTAATGCAGTTGGTATAGCATTATGTAGGAATAAATTGATCTTTAGTGGTATTAGGATAACTATAACAGATTTTGGTAAACAGTAAATAACAGCCTCATTATTATGTAATTAATACTTTTTTTTTAAATATGTAAGAAGCATAATACATAGGGGTGCTTACCATTTACTTGATGGCCACTTTCTCAATTGCCTTTTCTCTTTCTTTCAGCAAGAGGAGCGGATTAAACAAAAGGCTGCAATGACACACAAACAAAGAGTGGAAGAGTTCAACAGGCATCTTGATAGCCTCACAGAACATTTTGACATTCCAAAAGTCAGTTGGACAAAGTAGAAGTCAGTATGGGGAGAATATGTCAGTACCTTGTATATATTGTATATAGTTTCATTTTATTATAAAATAATGTCATAAAATACAGCTTTGTAGAAGTATAAAAATAAAACATACATTAAACCATGAAAACATTATACTTAGTATGTAGTGTAGATAGGTGGTTCATGACAGCCATAAACTTTGGTGCAAACACTTCATTTAATGCCAATTTCTTATTCAATTCCTGTAATTCCTGCATTGTTAACTGCAATTTCTGTAAACTCTTTAATTGATCCAGAATTCTTACTGGCCAGTTTTCTTGCATTAATCTATCCATGGCTTGTGCTTGCAATTCACAAACCCAAATATTCATTTGACATTACATGATCTTCCATTGAAATACATTTATGCAGATTGATAGTTTCACTTAAATCATTACTTTGCTCTTTATTAGATGTACATATCAGGAAAATTGACAGTACTGTCAAAATGCATGTGTTTCAGTGGGCATCCTCCACTTCCAGTTTTAGCTACAGTTTCCAAGCTCCCATGTTCCAGTTTGGCAACTTGGTTCACAATTGGTCAGTCTTCTATTGTACTGGATCTGTCACCATAACAGAGTGTGCTGAGAGTTTCTTCTAAATTATAATCTGCTGAACTAACACGCGCTATCATTAATCTAAATGTGTTACCTCCAAAAGAATCTAACGCTGCCTTCAAAAATTCTTCCTTCCCATGTTGAGTTGTCAGCTCCTGGTTAGAAATGAAGTAAAGAAGGGTGACGATTCTTGCCTGCAGTTGCTACAGCTTCACCAGGCTTCAGTTGGTCTAGCTGTCCACTATAATAAGAATTCTGTGATGTATACTTTTTCTGCTCTTGAGTAGGGTTTATATGTATTGGAATAAAACATGGTCTGCCTAATTGTGGAACATTTTGTACTCCTGCAGTATGTATATTATTTTCCTCAATAAACATATATGAAGGCATGTCTATTTGCATTATTTTGGTCATAATCCTTCAACTCCTCCCAAGTGGTAAGTTTTGTTATGATCATCTGCTAAGAGCTACATAAACAAGAATTTTTTTTCTTCGCTTCATTGAGGAGCTGACATTACAGCCATTGAAACTGGTCTGGAAGTTTAATCCTTACAGAATTTAAACACCTGTAATTTCACACATTATTTAATTCATATTTGCATCACAGTTCAAAAGTACTCTTGAACCGCTGCAGCACAGGTGGAAAAGGGAAACAACAAACTGGAATCCAGTGAATTTTTACTCTATGCACTTTGTTTCCATGTGACTCAGAAATTTATTAGGTTTAAAAATGCAGCATGTCTTATCTGCCCATTCTTCGTTTGTCCTTTACGTTAGATGGCAGTTGCTATTTCTTGTTCTTGTGTTGCGATTGAGTGCTGTAGTTCTTATGGAAGTGATTTTGAAGTAATGAATGGCCATGCCATTGAGAAGAAAGACGTTAACAGTAAATGAGGTAAAATTATTTAGAATGTGGAAAATAATCAAACTGTGTTGCAAAATGAAATTGTTAAGTGTTTTGTGCTGCCTCCATCGTCACTGAGTAACATGATTGTATGGTTGGTGTGAGCGCACCACTTGGTATAGATATTAATATTATAAACTATCATTTCTGTAATAACTAACTGATTGTTGAGTAACAGAAGGATTTTAAAGACTTGCACATTAATGTTTCAAGATAATATTTTAATAGGGTTCACTTTACTGATATACTATTATATGAATTCTTGTAGAATACCAAAGTATATCATTTTATTGAATGCATAAAGGGTGGGCCATAATAGTCTGGCCCTTGCACTGTGACCTTCAATGATCTATTGTGTTTTTAACATACCACTGGCTCGACTCTTTTAAAAAAAAATAACTGTACTTATTTGTTTTAGGACTAAGCTATAGAAAAGGTGAATAATTATGACTTGGATTCTATCCATATTTTTATGTAGTTTTCTTTTAATGACTGAAACACACCACCTGATTATTGTCTAATGAGGACCAAAATACGTTGGGGAATGTGACTGATGGAAATTTAATAAAAGTCATATACCTCTATGATGACATGTTTCAAGATCACATACATACAATGGACTCATATTCCATACAAAAATATATATAAATTTAAAAACATTAAAAAATCACGTGAAACACTTTGCTATAACCACATTTCAGATGCTACTCATAAACCAAGAGATTTCATCTGAATAAAAACACTGTACAGCTCTAGTAAAGCTTATAAATGGACGGTTTTGTGTAGATATTATTTGCAAAGTCGCAAATAGGTACTCAATGTACAGTCTGAGTTGTTACATATTAAAATATTCAGAAGTCAATGATATTAATACATAAACTTATATTAAATATTCCACAACATTCCTCAAATAAATGTTAAACATTATACTATCATCACAAGACTGAAAAAGAAAACATCCAATAAACAGCATTCCTGTTCTTATAAGACAAATGATCGATTCTGATTTTGTACACAACTCTAAAACCAATTAGAAATTATGTCCATATGTGTAAAATTATTGTACTACTCTGTTTATGATAGATACTCTTTCAGTTCTAATTTGGGCATGTCTTATATGCATGTATCAGCATTATACACACTCCTAAACACTAAACAGTGTCTTTCTAGATGAGAAATGAGGGTTTCACAGCAATGATATCAGTTTCACATGTGATTCCCATTGTTTTGGTCAAACATGCAGTCTCCATCTTCAGAGCAGCATGTTCCTCTGAAAAATTGGTAACCACCTACAAAACTACACAATGACATTAACCTATAAGACCACAATCTTAGTTCTTTCTACCTTATGCCTTATCCACAGGTGAGAAATATGGGCAGAAGGGAATGGAAAGTGAAAGAGTCTATTTGTCCACGAGGTTAATACCATGTTCTTACTTGTTTTAGCAGGCACATGGACTCGTATTCTGAAGCAGAACAGATGCCATGGCAGGGCATGTCTTAATATAAAAATATTTACATCATGTGCCTTTCAATCAAAGCATACATATTCGTACATTCCTAATATTAAAAAATAAACATTACTTATTGCAGTCAGTCACAGATGGAATGAGAATGTCTTTGAAGTAATGATGTTTCATCTCACAACCTGGGGTCATTTTAGAACCACACCACTTCTCTTCAGTTAATACAAACTATAGTTACAATAAAAAAAAATGCTACATGAATTTACTATTATATAAATTGCATATAATCAATGATTTTGACTTAAAATTCTAAAACTGATATTAATTTAAACTGAACTAATATAAAATGTTAATATAAAAAATGAATTACATATCAGAATGAACTAACCACACAGGGTTCAATAATTCCTGAGAGAAATTTACAGTATGAGTTTTGCATGTTATGACTATACCTATACTGCGACTTGTAATGTTTTATAGTAGTTCTGTGCTTAGATGTGGCAATCTTAATGATTATTTTTCACATAACATACACTTATTCAGGTGTATGGATTTAAAAAATGTTACAATTTACATACTTCTTCAGTATTACATTCCGAATTTCAGCACTAATTAACATGGTGCTAAATACTAACATTTTTCCCTCTTTTATTCCAAGTGCAAGTTTCATAATCATATAATCTTCCAAATTTATGGACTTTTCAGTTAGTTTACACAAAACAAACTAATTCATGTTCTATTCATTGGGAACTTGCCATCAAACAAGATGAGCCCCTTACACTGTGCAAAATAAGATCATATTCCACCACTTCAATGCTTCTATTCCCTGATGACTGAATAATATCAATGAAAATTATCAGTCTCACAATGAAAGATTACTTGGAGATTCTCTTCAAATGTTGAAATGCCTCTTCTGAAACCAATCTGGATCCCATCCCATATAACTATGTTATCATATGAAAAGATTATCATGGAGTTCTTTCATCCACTTGGGGAAATGAAAGTCACAGTTTTCTGTTATGTCTTCAAGTTCTGGCTGATGAGGCTTCCAATCTATGATGAATTCTGAAAGAAATAACAAAGCTACAAAGAGCATGCATGGCTCAATTACACTCAAGCTTTGCATCATTTAGAGCCATGATTCTCTGAGGTTGGTGACTTAAGACCCTGCTGAAACTAGTATAAGAATACTTATCTTTATATTTAAAGACGTTTATATAACATTTCATGCAAACTGTTCCAGTTTTTGATAGCAGACAGCAAACAATACCTGTGAGCAACAGGTCAAATAAAATTATCTAACTATGGCATATAGCTGCCAATTTAGTGCAGCATAAAAAAATTTTAAGTCTTGTTTTGTCCTTAACAATGTTTAATAAGCTAGAACATAACCCTTCAGCATGGACTTCAAATCTCCTGACATACTACTGCCTGAGGTTATATACGAAATGTCTCTTCAATTTTTGAAGTAACATTTGTCATGTGACTTTTTAATCTATCTGAAATGAAACGAAGACTAATTCATAGAAATTTACTTAAATTTATACCTTTACCACGGCTTCTGGTTAATTTTCTCCTAATTTCCTAAAGACATGAAGACAATACAGGAGACAGGAAATTATAACTGAAAATAAATTTCCTTCTTTCATATGCAATTGAAAGTACTTTCAACAACAGCAACAGGCCAATTTATGCTCAATTTGAATGTATAATTGAGGAATTGGGCAGAAACCACAAAAGCATATTCCATGAAAATTTAATATTATGGAAGTTTTGGTGGAACCAATAGAAACATTCAAGCAATTAAGGAAGATGCAAAATCCAGGTTTCACTGTACAATGAACATAATATAACTGACAAATGTTAAATTATGTCAGCTGGTACAAACTCTAAGAAAATATATCTGAAACGTGTTAAAGACTTAAAGAATGATGGAATTACCTTTTAATGAAATTCAGCCAGCCACTGCAATATGCATGTAGATGTAACATGTCAAAAACATGACCAAGCTTCCAGCAGTGTTACCGCATACAGTAGTTCCAGTGCTGCCAAACTTGAATACTTGTACATAATGCTCTGAATGTATCCATGGGTTACTTCCATCATCAAAATGCATTGGACACTGGTCGCCTACAAGAAAATTTGGCTATTGTTGCAATAATCATATACCGATCATGGTTACAGTCACACACCTGTGCAGTCAGATCACACAATACAACTACTGTATAAATTCACATCTGGAGGGAACTTTTCCACTTTATATTACTGTTAACCTTAATTTTAATGGCACTGTTAGGAACACAGAAGGCCTAAGTATATTCCTATTTTGCATTAAACCTGAGCACAAACTTAATCTTTAAAGTACAGTACTGACATCTCACATACCATAAAACATCCTGCATAGCAGTTACATACAGATGACTTTCTTCCATTAATCTCTGAAAAAACTAATACTGTGCAAACGAGTAACTTTGCAAGCAAGAGAGCATCTGCCACAAATCATAAAAAGCAATGTCAATATATCTGCAATTTAAGTATTGGTTTAATATGAAAACATATCTGAGATTTTCTCTAATACAGAATTTGCTTCAAAAATCCAACAAAAAATTTGGGTGCTTGACTTATTCATAAAGATTCTGGCAACATTACTTATTCCAAATATCATCTTAACTTTTGTAACATCTCCTTTTTCATACACCTATGCAGCTGCAATGTATGAGTAGATGTTAATGTGTAAGGTACCATGCATGTGTTGTGCTAAGCATCAGTATAAGAAGCATGCTTATTCACCTATAGTAAAAAAAACTAAAAATAATTCTAAAGACAAAACAAATTTGTAATTGCAATTACTGAAAAGTTTTATGACATAAGAAAAGGAAGGGAGAGTTGCTGCAAAAAAGCACTGGTAGTGAGAGAGCTTTCTATAGCCAGAAAGCTAAATATCATGCATAGAAGAAAACTGTGTGAATACTTGAGTGAGATGTGGCAGTTTGAATATGATGTATTAAACAAAATGTGCTGAATTCTTTAGCATTGGTGGGGGATTATAGTAAGGCCAAATGTATTATTTACACTTATGCCTGACATGCATACTTTCAATGCTTCAATACATTCACAAATTCTTTTCTTTTTAATATCTTAAAACATATTCAATGTCTTAGGGTATTTTAGACAATGCTGTACTTATGAAAATTACCTAGCATATTTAACAAATATAACACAAAATACCCACGCTCTCGTTCATATTCCTGCATCTCTATAGCTACAGCAGCCCCCTCTGTATAATTCCAGCTTGTCACATCCTGTTTCAAGTCGCAGAAAGGTCCTATTGCCTGAGACATAAGTACGCGGTTCAGATCTGCTCGCTGATATACCTAAAAAAAATACAAACAGTATCTCACTGTCAGAACACAGAAGTAATCATGTGAGAAGATTGGGGGGAGGGGGGCATGGGGAAGAAAATTACAAACTACATGACAAAGGAGTTCATTTCAAATGCTGTTGTTTCTCAACAAATGTATTAACTATGAATAACACAGATGACAAGACAAAATACAATAATGTAAAACACAATGACATAAAAAGGCAAAAGCTTTCTAGTTTGTTTAACTTCCCACTAATATTGAGGGTGACAGTATCTGTTCAGAATTAGTTTTAAAGTTCTAGTCACAAAACTTACTTGGTTGTAAGAAATGTAAAAGAGTTTGATTCTGGTAAGATATAAAATAATAACTCATTTCTTGAGTATAATCCATAAAAAAGGTCTTGCGTAATGTATTTTGTGTTGGTAAGACTGTTACAATGCTTCTCTTTGGTGCCAGAGGCTTGCTGTATCATTCAGAATCTTGCTGTTAAGCTGGACAGGTGAATGTGTGCTCCATTAACTCACAATTATGGGAATGAATTGTTTAAAGATAAATAATTCAAACACTGATGTACTGTCAAGTAACATGTACATGTAATACAATAATACAACAGATTATATAGGTACATGTAAATGTCATTTACTAGCACCTACAATTCACGATACACTTTGTCCCATAGTAGATCAACGTATATTTTAGTTCCCCATTGCCCAATCAACACACAGAAGGTAAATAACACATAAAGATCAATTATCAGAAAATTAGTTTGGTTAACCCTTCAGAAAATCTATCTCACAGATTAATCCAAAAATAGAGGCCGCGGCATAGCTCAAGTGGTTAGTCGCTGGCTTCCCACCGCAGCGGCCCGCGTTCGATCCCGGGTCTGGAAAAGTGGGATTTGTGGTGGACAAAGTGGTGCTGAGGCAGGTTTTCTCCGAGTACTTCGGTTCCCCTGCCAATCTTCATTCCACCAATTGCTCCACAATCACCCTCACCTATCATCTGGGGCTCGTACAACAGGCCAGAAGTGGCCGCAGTACAAGGGACATCGTCCCACCCCAATAGCAATAAAATAATCCCAAAATATATAGCAACAGTTTCTCCTTACCCAGCATCGGTACTTGCTAAAAGGATCCAGCTCATCATATGTGATTAAGTACGACTTGAGGTTCTCCTTCCAATAGCCAATGCACTTCATCTTATAGTCAGGGTCACCTGTAGACAAGTGACAATAACACTGTACATACAAATCATTATGCTTCTAACAATATCCAGTATCTTCACACAGAGTAGCACTGGAGGGATTCTGTGATTTAAAAACCATAAATCTATTAATAACATGAATGAGTCTGGAGCATGAAATATGGAATCAAATTTCCTTTGTTACAACTGTAATTTTATCTGCCTCCAACAGCAGACACTGTACTTCTGTACTGTCCTACTGCAGAACTGCAACTGCCTCGTGCAGCAAAATCTACCTGAGTGCTGTGTTACTGAATATTCAGCAGAAACTGTCAGGACAAGACTTTGGTTTTTAAGTTTTCAGTTCACTTTGCAGAAGTGGTCCCTCCCTTCAAAATAAGAGAGAGAAGGGTGACATATTGTGAGTGAAATTTTTCTTATTTTTAAAATTTCAGGACATCTTGCTACCTTAAAATAGCAATATTTACAATGAAACCATTAGGAAAAAAAATGTTTTCCAAGCTGATGCAGTTAAAAGTTTAATCCACAAGATGCTAGTAACTATTAAAACATAACTTGCAGTGGGCAAGTGAACAAAATTGCATTAATCTAAGATTAGTGTTGACACAGTTATGGTCCCAAACCAGAAAAACTATGAATGCAGGTAAGCAAAGTTTAGTTCCATAAATGAGCAATAATAATTATATAATTAAACTTAAACTTACTTACTCTATTTTCAGCCAAGTTCTGGATATGAATTTAAGCCCCCCAATTTAAAAAAAAATGATGTAATAATGTGCTGGTTGGTCATGGTTCTTGCACACATGAGGAGGAATGACACGTATGGAGCAATGTTGAATAGTGATTAGAAGGAGAACACCAAACAAACATGGACAAAAATCAGCTCCAATGCCATTTCATCCACAGAGAATCATGTGAAGACACTCAGGACTAAAGTTTTTCTTCCACAGGCAGAAAACCAGCTCTAACTGTTTAAGCTGTGGAAAGGCCCTTCAAAAATAATATTTATTTTAAAATAAGGAAGTTTTAAATTTTCAGTATACATACAGAAAAATTCAAGTACAACTTACTGTAAATGTCAACAGGTCTCCCTAAGTGGTCCACACTGAGACAGTATGTTTCATCAATAGCAATTTCCTTTTGTTCTGTGTCACATACTGAGAAGTCAGAGATGTTTTCCTTACAATATGTGTTGGGGCGTGGAGAGAGTGTCACACCACCCAAAATACGAGTTTCAAAAGGCACATCACCACGCTGAGTAAAATTGTACTTTCCAGCAACTGGGCACTGTACAGGTACTGGATTTTTTGCTGAAAACACAAATATAATTCACATAAATGTCCTATATAAAAAACCAGAAATCAAAGAGTTGTAAATACAGATAAAGGCACCTAATAGTACAGTCCCCTTCTGGGGTACTACCATTAACATGGCTGGAGATCTGGTATGTTAAGGGGTACAAATATAACCTGACCCAAAGTCTGCTTGAAAAATACAAATTAGCTCAACATGCATATGAAGAAGGCCATAACATATGTTGGAAAGATGCTAAGGTCTTGCAGACTGAATAAAACACCACATACAGGAAGTAAAGGAATCTGCCCCTGGTAGATCATCCAATCAGTCAACCCAGCTTGGATATCTTTCCCATCTGGACTACCATTATTGCAGCAGGACTCAGAACACTACAACTCCATCCAGTACAGAGTATGTGTGGAAGCTGTGTTTCCATGTATCATACAAAGAAGTTGTCTTCCATTCTAACAGTACTCTGATCTCAACAAAAAAATCCATGAAACAGTCCATAGACATAGGCGCTAGGCCTCACGGGTGTTGACTTGTCTTAATGTTTTAATAGTTGATTCTGAAGGGTTCTGACGATGGTGGAGGACACACAGAATTACTGGGGGTTTGGACTTTTTCCATCGGTTGGAATTTTAGGTCCTCTATTACCTAAAATTCCGGACGATGGAAGAAGTCCAAAACCCCAGTAATTCTGTGTTTTAATAGTTGTCTTAACTCTTGCAGTTGGTTTATATATCCTATGCTGTGTTGGGGCTGGTGTCTGTAGATAGGAACTAGCTCTGCTGATTGAGCTGAATGGAGTAGTTTTCACCTGAAGACGGAAACAGAATCCAGTCTCTGAAACGTTGCCTTTTAAACAAAAAAAAAATTGATGGGTAATGTCCAGGCACACAATAATTGTTATCAACAGATGTTAAAACTTTATGTACAATATAGTAATTATTGTTGCTGTCTATGCAAGTGCCTAAAAACAACGCAGGATAACTAACTCCATGGTAGCGGCCTCCGTAGTCTAGGGGTAATGTTCCCACCTCTTGACTCAAGGTATGTGGGTTCAAACCCGGCGGAGGTCGTGGAATTTTTAAGGGCGGAAAAAATCAGGGAACACGTCCTCTGGGAGGGACTTTAAGCCGTGGGTCCCGTGTCATAGCTTTACAGCACGTAAAAGAACCTCATGTCCCAAGGGGACCTCTGAGCGAAATTCAGGACATTTCCTGCCCAACAGTAGTCTCTAACACCTCTGGTAGATGGGGGAAGTATCGAGATACTGCTGAGCCAGTAGCGGCCAAACTCACTGGCTGAGTCGGGACTGATGGCACGCACCAGTATCGGTAGGGAATAGAGACTGATAGAATATCACAGGGGGACACACAATGGACCAATATCTGGTTTAAGTGCATGGGGAAACACACCCTCTCCAATAACAACAACAACTCCATGGTGGTAAGACCTACTTGACAAGCTGCCATTGTGCAACTACTGAAGGATTTCCCATTTTATGGAACATGAAGGTTCATTACCATGTGCACAAGAGCCCTCCACTGGCCCCTATCCTAAGCCAGATCAATCCAGTCCATACCACCCCATCCTCTCTCTAGGACCCATTTTAATATTATCCACCCACTTAAAACAATGCTGGATGGTGAACATAACACACTTTTATCATGTCTCTGAATTTTTCCATGCAGAAATGATGGGACAGTTGCATATGTAAAAATCCTCTTTTCAGCTGGCAGCTCATACTCATGGAGAAAGACAACTACCCTATTTGCCTGAATACAAGCCATATGCTCCCCTGCAAATTGATGTTTTTAAAATTGGGGTGCAGCTTCTAAGTGGTTCATAAAGAAAACGAAATATCACTGATTGTCTACATCTGGGAAATGTATGTAGTTTATTGTTATGCTCAAGAGATGACACATTAGCTTTCATTAAAGAATACATCAACGCAAACTCAATTTAAATCGCTGTTACCAACTAGTGGAGTCCTGACAGAAATGCATCATACCTACTTTTCTGATGTTACTAGAGCCTCCCATCACCCCTCACCCAAATGAATTAATGTATTGTTACATGGATGGCGTAGCAGGAGGTGGGGGTCGCGTGAACTCTGTGATCTCGCAAGTGACGTCACATACCCCCACTCTGTCCCATCAGTGTGCAACACTCAGTAGACACCCCTTTCCCTGCGGTGATGTAACACGGGACACCGCAGTTGCTATGTAGCCGTAAACAACTCCCGGCAGCGCTGCCCAGCAATGCCTTTGTAAACACGGCGGGGAGCCCGTGCAACGACTGTTCCTAGGCAGTCGGTAAACACGTTACGCAACAGTGGTGCCTATTATGTAACTGTTTTCTGTGTTGTCCGTAACGGGGCTAAATAAGGAGCAGCAAACACTATTCACAGTTAGTTAGTAGTTAGAAGCGAGGGAGTTACGAGTTAGCAAGGGAGTCAGTCAACCAGTCAGTTGTAGTCTAGCATTCGCAGGCCAAGTAACTGTAGTACTGCCCATGGAAGTAGTTGTGAGACTGTAAATTGTGACTGTAAGAGCGAATGTGCAATAAATTCGCTATATCCAATACGGCGTGAAGTTACTTGTCGTGTGTTATACACCCAACACGTGACAGTATCTTATAGGGACAACATAAAAACTTGCTTACTCTGAGCTGTTCTGGTTGTTGTGTATAATGGCGAAAATGCATGAATAATTTTTTCATTTCAAGATATAATTTTGGGGGTGCAGCTTATATTCATGCAAATACAGCACTTTGTTCTCATGACTGAAAAATATAACAACTTATAATACTGAGCACAAGACATTCCTACAGCCATTTTTTATGATCAATTACAGCTTCCACACACGGACACCCTGTCAACATTACCAGTAGTGCTGATGCTTCCTCGTTCTACAGCAAGAACAGGTACATTTCAGCCTGTACACAGAATGAGGTTACTGAAAAGGTCCTTACAGTACAAATCTTATGAGACTATATATTCCAAGCAGCTCGAAATGTTTATCTAGATTTTCAATCATTATACAGTGTTAATTTGATACTTTCTTCAGTCAGTACTAGAGCTGTAGAAGTGCAAACTGCCTTCATGTGAAATATGTATTCAAAGGACATTCTAGTAACTGACTGACTGGTTACTTTATGGTTTTGTAATAAACTGGCTTCTCATGGGCCACAAAAACCTCAAACTTTCACAAATGAAGTCTTACCTAAGAACAAGTCATATTTCCATGCTTCCTTGTTCTTAAATTGTACCCATGAACAAACAGTGTGGAAATCATCTTTGATGACAGCAATACCACGTCGGTAACGAATAATGTTATGGTGCTGAGGTACGAAATCAAAACACACGTAGTCCTTCTGACTGGTGAGAGAGACACACAAATCAATTAATTGTTAGTGAACACTAAACATTACAGTTCCCTGTTACTCTAAGCATGACCTCATTTTAAATGAAACTGTTCTAAGTGACTGAGGACAGGAACATACACAAGAAAAACAAACATTTGTCATAACTGCGATATTTATGCAATTTCATGTTGCGATTATAAGATTCTTTCTTTCTCACATTATGAATGCATTTATTATTAAAAATAAACTGTCTGAAATTAAAGAGGAGTGGATATATTCCCAACTTTGTCATGTTCATGGTGGTAAACTACAGTGAGACTTGAGTAACATTCTTAAGTTAACACTGCTGCCATACAAGAATTCACTTTATAAAATAATTCTACAGATATTCATAATCTTCCATACTGTATATTATAGTTTCAGATAAAACTGTGTAAGTGGCATGTCTGTGTTAATTTATGATAAAATACCTTAATAAAAGTTCATTTTATATTTTCATCCCTGTTACAAATTTCACTTTTCTTTTTAAATTCAACATGACACAAACTACCAAATACAGGGTAAGGCATTGCATCATTAATCCCGAAGTTGCGATTTCTCACACCGACAGATTTTGAAATATGACAATAAACCATTCATTGTATGAAGAAAGCCATCTTCTGGGATGTGGTGCCATGTAGAAATTGTGTTAACCGACGTATTGGAGGAAGGTATCGCACAGGGTAGAAGACAAGAAGAAATCCATGGGCGAACCAGCAGAGCAGGTGCAACAGACTGTGTCCAGTCAAGTAAACACAGCTGTATATGAGAAGGAGAGGAGTGTGGCTACATAGGGAAATAGTAGAGAGGAGGAGGGGAAGGGTCTGGTGGAAGAGCCAGCAGGTAGTGAGCCAGAGCTGGTATAGAGTATGTGTTAGGGAGAGAGAAGGGAAGGTTAAATGGGGGGCATTAACCCTGTAGCTCAGGGGCTGTGATGGACCTGAGTGGCCTACAGGGGCTGCCGCATTTCGGAGGTTACTTGAGGGAACAGATGAGAGGCTTCCATGACTTACTAAGACAAAACCCCACCTCTCTGTTCATATTGGTGGGATGGAGTTCAATCTCAATGGCCTCCCTAATGATGTGATCCATATAACAGGTCTTGGTAGCAAGGATGGAGGTATTCTGAAGCTGAATGCGGTGTTTGTCCAACAGGACCAACGGACTTTGCCTTGCAGTAACAGTCCAGATCTGTACTTATGACATGCTTGTTTCAAACGTCGGCCACATCACCAGCTATTCTGACTAAGATTTATGTGGTTTACCTTAGTGTCTCCAAGGAAACTGGGATAATGCCACAACTGGGATATGACTGTTTCCTTCTAAATCTTTTCCAATTCACCATTCATCTATCATTATATGATTTGGCACTACATATTCTGCAAGACTGAAAGATATAGCTGTCCCTGTGCTTAATTGTGCAAGCACCACACCACAAAGAGAGTGAGGGAGAGCAGAGAAACAGCAGCACCATTCTTAACCTTGGCACTAGATGGGGAAAAGTGGTAAGCTTCATGCTCCTGCCACTTCAGCTCTGGGGATATAGTCCCCAGTACCCACCAGACAGGAAGCTGGGTGAATTCTAAAACTAAACTTGATATTAAGGAGCAGAAAAACATCTCTTGCTCCTCCTGTGAATAAAACCCTGATTCCTCAGGAATTCAGCCAGCTTCCTTCCTGCTGGAAGAATCAACAAATGGAAGCAAAGGTGAAGCAGCACATGTTAGACAACATGACTATACTCTATAACAATATCATTTTTATAAACATCTTATCTGATAAGCAATAAGTTTTTTATTTAAGAAGTTTATGACTGGCCAGGGGAGGGGGGGCAGACCACACACAACACAGTTGTAACATTTCTGAATGACATGGTTATTGTTATTACTTTTTTGGTGAAACTGCTGAAAAATATCAGATATTTAGGAACTGTTACAAGTTTATGGAGAAGAAACAATATGTACAGCAGAATTTAGTGTGTAGCTTTACAGAATTCACAAAGAAAAGGATAGGAAACATGATTAATGATCTAGTCATCCAACTTCAAGAAATCATTCAAATGTGAAACGGTGAGATAGATTTTAATTGGAAGCCCAAACATGATGACTGTGCAACAAGGATGCTCAAAAATCTCAACAATAAGAAAACGTTACAAGGATAAATACTTTGTTCGGATCTTTCAGACACAATTCTGAAAACTGCTGGCAATACCTGGACCTTACAATATGCCTCAGAAACTGAAAGCTAAGTCCCCAATGGAGAAGTCCAAGGTCTCCAAGACAAATGTGCATGCCAAAATTAGTTTAACACTATGCTGATCTGAGACTTTCAGTGTTGACTGGAGCTACCTTCTTAATGTACAGCCTCCATATTCAGAGTCAAAGAGTAAGTTGTACAAGTATGTAGCAAGCACAGTGAGTTTTAATCTGCTTGCTTCCATGGCTTACTCACTGATCCTGCAGATAAAGGCAGTTCATCACTCTGGAACATCGGCAAACTTCTACCAGAATACATGGCTGATCTACTTTACAGTTATTGAGTTTTTGGACATTGTCCATCATCCTGTATTTTATTTAAAACACAATGTTTCGGAAACCAGATTCTGTCTCCATCATCAGGTAAAAGCCTACTCAGTTTGGCCCCATTGATAGAGCTAGTCCTTATCTCTGAACACCACCACCCATGTTTTAATGTCTGTCTTTTAACTCCCACTGATGACCTATGTTGTGTTTGGTTTATATATCCCATCTTGTGCTGGCGCTGGGAGACAGACACTAGCTCTATCGATTGGACCCAAATGAGTAGGCTTTTATCTGAAAACAGAGACAGAATACAGGCTCTGAAACGTTGCACTTTAAATAAGAAAACATGGCAATGGATGTCCAAAAACTCAATAATTGTATTAATATACCATCATCACAAATTTTTAGATCTGATCTACTTTACTGATTCCAAAAGAATCGTCCATTATTACGTAAATTTGCCACATTCAAAATAATCATGCATTTCACCATCAGGCTTTGAACATTATTCACATTATTCAATGAAATCAATGAGCCAAGTGGATCTCACATCATGCAAAAGTAGCGTCCCATAGTTCTTATGTTAGGCACTTTTCACCAAAAAACCATATAATTTTGAAAATACACTGTACTCACCACATCTGGCTACATGTCACTTTCTGAAATTCCCAGACTGAAGATTTAATTGAAATTATCTCATTTTTAATTTAATACAGGGATTCAGAAAAACTGTTAGCAAAATACTTCAAGGCACAGCAGACAAAGGATTGCACTTTGAAGGTCATGACACCCATTAGCAATGATAAAATATACTGAAACTTCAATACAGTATGATTTATAACAAGGGATTATAATTACAGTGAAAAAGACTACTAGAACTGCCAATTTCTTAATGTTACACATATGGAAAACCATCACGAACAACAAGGGCTTTTTTCCAGCACTGTCGACATAATGAGTAATTCGTAACTGGTTGCCACTGTTTTCTCTTAATTTTCCTACCAACTTATTGCAGTTTTGCTTCCCAAGTTATTTATGGCTAGCAGTCTGCATAGGTCCTGTTACCTTGCTCTCTCTGAGCCACCCTTGACTAGGAGAAAGTTCACATTCTATAATCTGATAGCAGCTTACCCTCACCAAGTTTCAACCATTAAGAAATGTATATCAAGAGACATCCTCTGAATATCTTCATCAGTCCAGTAGCTTGTCTTATTACCTACTGTGTTGTTGGCTTCTTTACAGAGACAATATGCAATGTGCAGTATCTTCCTCTTTTTGTCATACAGATTTCCCCTTCCCCGAGTGCCCACTGACTTCAGATGAAGTTGCAGAATACAACCATGAAAGCACATGTTTAAAGTTTTGTCCCTCACCAAACAAGGTTTGATTTCTGGTGGCACTTGTCATGACTTTCCTGCTCATAGAACATTTTTTACTATCAAAACCACACATGTTGTGACTTACCTTAACAATGTTCTCCTTTTCATTGAGTATATATTGATGAAATTTGTTTCACAATCTTAGTCTGTGGCTATGTGATGAACACAATGAAATGAGACCTGCGCTATTAGCTTAAATTCAGTGATGCAGGAACTAAGAAGTTATGGAGCTATACACATGTCATAAACCTAATTTCATTATAAGCATTAGTAAAGTGAAGTATGTAAAGTAAAGCTATCCCTGTAACAGGCCGTGAAGGCCCATAGGGTTGTGGGATGTTGAGGGTCCCACATTATCTAGACAATCGGCTCAAAGATGGCGGTAAGGTTGTCAGTCTTACGCGCCGGCCGCGATTTACTCCCTAGGAAAATTATTTAATTAATTCCTGGTACTCATTTCTGTTAGAGGCTGAGCTGACATTAGGGCCATAGTGCGGCTGGAAGGATTAGGTCAAATTAAAAAAAAATCCAATGATCTCATTGGGACTTGAACCTGTAACCTTCTGGCTTGTAGCATAGTGCCTCAACCAACTATGCTACCACGTGCCCCTTATTAGTAACTTACTTAATTTTATTAGGTTAGAAAAATTAATCCATGTAGAGTTTATATGCCACTAACACAGCACACATTTTACATTTAAGTGTAATGGTTCCTTCACAGTAATTTCTTATGCCTGTAGCATCGAAAATAATGCGTATTCTAACTGGTATCCTGTAATGTAATGCATATGTAAAGTATTAAAGAGATTTATGCTGCATCCTGTGTTGATCTGTTAGTCCATTTTGATACTAGTCGTCTAGTTTATTGACACATGCACATACATGCAATAACTTGTGAGTGTGCAGCAGACTTTCACTTGCAAAGAATGGCACCTAGTTAGAAATAAACTGTAAGCAGAGATTATGTAGACTTATGAAATCTTTCAATTTTTCACTTCATACAGTGCTAAGGATGATGAAAATACTGAATTATTCTTCATTGTTTTCATATTCTCATAACAGCTAAGCCAAAGAAGAAATACTGCCACACCCAAATTATCACTCTAACACTAGTGTCATATTACTTGCATGTTAGGGAATGGACTTTTCTTTACATATTTCAACCATTTTGGGATATTACCAGTATCTATTAGAACAAGAATTTTTTCGAACTTTATAATCTCTCGTACTATTGAGGGTGACATTATTTCACTTACCTAGCAACAATAGAGTGAATAAACACAAACATAATCTGCAAGCCTTGATAAGTTTCACTTTACATGGCCTAACAACAGCCACTGCAGTCCCTTTTAATTTATGCTAAGGGTAATAGTTTCTTTGGCTATTTTATAATTCTATACCAATTTAAGGATTATTTAATATCAGTTATATGAGATATGGTAAAATTATCATGAACAGATGAACTGATGCCTGACAGAGAAGAAAACCAGACATTTCATGTACGTAATGTAGGCACTGAACTTCCCAGCCAAACTGCTTGAGCAGAAAATTGTAATCTGCTTCAGTACTAGTAACACATACCAGCCATCTACTGTGAGCCGTGCCATCATATACCGAGTATCCCTTTGCTGTCGGCACACATAAATGGTTCTTCTGTACCGACCTTCATCTGGGTACCAAGTTTCAATGATATGGGTCTCATTGATGAAAATATCAGCATCAATGTTTGCAGTGTTTATCCAATCACCACTGAAATTCTGTGGCAAGCGACAGCCAGGTTCAACAACTTCAGCTTTGACTAGAATGAAATGAAACATGTTTCAGGGCATACATTATATATATATAAAGCAGAAATTTGAAAAAGGTGCTTCTTTCTATATGCTTCCCTCTGAAAAAATGGTCAGACAAATTTTAAATTACTAATGTATTTTATGTACAAAATTTCTGCCAGTTTAAATTTGTAAAAACTGAGCTGTTTATAGTAACAATAAAAACTGGTGCCACTACACACTGGTTCTCACATGCAAGGAGCACTGTTATACATATAAGGGGTTTGCATGATTAATAATGGGCTCTGGATTGTTCTGGGTTTGAATTATTGGCACTTCTTTATAATTATGATTGATTATAACAGCTCACACATTGAACTCCTTCCAAATGCTGTATGAAGAACCTTTATGAAGAATCTCTCACTGCTGTCTGAATCTTGGACTGGTCCTCTCTCAAATCCATGAATCCACTGCCTTTTATAACTTCCATGCACCCAGGATAGAAGTCACCATGTTTTACAGTTCCTTTGTTCTGTTGTGTCACAGGAATGCCCTTGTTAACATGCGTTGCTCTGGGAACAAGTGTTTTCTTAGCCGCTGTATAACAGTGGACGTCTGCTCCGGATCTACCATTCTGGTTTTCAGCTGTCATGCGACATTGCTCCCTCCTTAAGGTTCTTCATCCCAAATAACCTACTGGTGCATCACCACTCCTTCTTTTCTGATGTTTCTGTTGATGTTGTCTTCTTGTGGCTTGGTCTTTCCCGCAGTGACCGCTCTCCAATCACTACCACTACTCCCTCCTTAAAGCCACCTGTCTCAAGTGACTCCCTTCTGAGGTTCCAATAAATCCTGGTGCATCATCATTATCCAAAGTGTTTCTCTTTCCAACAGTGATGGCAAAACTATCTCAAGCAGATAGGGCTACCACATTTCTGAATCATCTTATGCTAACAGTGTTAGTAGGTTTTTCTTCCATTTCAGTAGGGGCTGACCCCGAATGTGGGTATGTAAAAAGATGAAGATTCATAAGATTTCTTTTTCTTTCTTAATCAATAACATTAATTTTCACTTTATCAATATGTAGTTCACATACCTGGGGTAATTCGCAACCTCTCAGGACTTTTCTCTACTGTTTTAAGAGTGTTGCACTCTGCTGTTATAGAAACTCCAATATACAAGTCATCATCTCGATTCTTCAGAAAACATCGATACTTCTCATCTTTTCGAGACTCCTTCGTATTGGCAACAGCAAAAAAGTGGTTCTTATCCACAAACCAGTCACCTAAACAACTATACTCAACCACTGTAACAGAAGGAAACAAGTTAACATACGCAGATGATTAACCTTTAACGTACGGACTTTTAAATTGCCTGCAGCTCCCTACGGCCAGAATTTAAATGGCCCTAAGTCTTTAACTTTGCAAACTTTCAGAAAAAAAAATGCATATTTTCCGTTCTATGCAACATCGGAATATGAACTAAAAGAACCTGAAAGACAATAAAATTTTCTACATATATACAAAAGGGCAAGTTTTACAAAAGAAAATCAACTGTGACTATTTTGTCATGAATTGCAAAATATAATCATTATTATATACGTTATGAAATTCCAAAGGAATTACCTGTTGTTTTTCTTCAACCTTGAATCGTGGTGGTGATGTAAATATGACGACACTATATACAATAATATTTGGTTTGGACTGCATCGCTTCACAGTTTACACTCTGATGCATGTGCCATTTCTCGAAGCAGTCCATCACACAGCGTGACATCACACTCTACAGCGGTAAAGCGCGCTCCCGCTTTTCTTGTTTATAGAACAAACGTCTTTGTTTCCCTTTAGCTGGTCAGTGTTTTGAATGTATCACCTCCAGTCGACTCAGTTGGGCCCCAGATGAACTTGGCCTCCCCCGAGAAACACCACTGACTGTGATATTCGCCTCATGTGATTGAAGAATCAAATCACGCACCAAAATTTCGCGGAAATTTTTGTGCGTCATTTTTCCATCACATGACTTTGTGTAGCAGATATTCATTGAGAATAGTCATGTCTAGTAGGTGGAAGAATACTCGCAAAATTGTGATGCAAAGTAATTGCAATAGCAGTCGAAAAGTGCCAGTCCGCCACTGATACCGAAAGTCACAGTGACGAAGATGTCTTTACGCACAAAGTAACACTGGCTCAGTGTATTTATACCACTTCCGAGATACACAATAAAAATGATATAAAAGAAATATAGGAGTCTGACGCTGACTTCGTAACTTTTTACAAAATATAGAAAATCACGCACCAAAATTTCGCGGAAATTTTTGTGCGTCATTTTTCCATCACATGACTTTGTGTAGCAGATATTCATTGAGAATAGTCATGTCTAGTAGGTGGAAGAATACTCGCAAAATTGTGATGCAAAGTAATTGCAATAGCAGTCGAAAAGTGCCAGTCCGCCACTGATACCGAAAGTCACAGTGACGAAGATGTCTTTACGCACAAAGTAACACTGGCTCAGTGTATTTATACCACTTCCGAGATACACAATAAAAATGATATAAAAGAAATATAGGAGTCTGACACTGACTTCCTAACTTTTAACAAAATATAGTAAATCCGCCACTGACGTCCTAACTGAGAATTCAACACTGCAAACCAATCCCTGAATGAGCCACACTTCCTTGAAAGCTCTGGCAGCACTGCTATGAAAGTGCTTACGAATATTTCCTCCTCTAACTTCTCAAAACAAAGCTGACCTCTACTGGCTCACCAGGTCATAAACAGTCATATCTAAAAGTAAATAGTTTCGAAACCAGTACCCTGATAAACGATTTCATTGTTCAGAGCTAACAAATAAACGTCTGACATGAACATTCATGAGTTTGTTTGGGTTTCAAACCCAAGGTCAAACTGCCAGCACTCACAAAGGAAGCACGTGGCTTGCCCCTAAAAATTATAACATCCCTTAAAATTATAACATTCGGCCGGCTCGGCTTGCTACTTGATGCGAATAATTATAACATTTGGCCGGCTCGGCTTGCTACTTGATGCGAATAATTATAACATTTGGCCGTTAAAGGTTAAGGACATTGACATTTAAAGCACCATACTCACATATTTCATCAACAGTATGATTAATTTGTTCATGTAACCATTTAAGGACAGTTCCTTATTACTGTTCTTTGTGCAGAAGTTCCCATCGACAAAAAGTGTAAGACACTACATATGCATGAACATAGGCTGAAGGTGTTTAAGAACACTGTGCTGTATACATGTGTATAACAAGAAGCTTCAGAGTTCATATGCTTCACCAAATGTATTACAATGGCCAAATCCAGGGCATGATGGGTAAAGTATGCACATAAAAGGCTGAGATAAGAAATGCATATAAGGCATTGGTCACAAAAGTTGAAGGTGAGAGACGACTTGGGAGAGCTAGGTACAAATGGGAGGCAAATATTAAAATGGATATTACAGTAATAGAATGGGTGTGAAATCAATTCATCTAACACAAGCTAGGGACCATTACAGATGAACACAGTAATAATCTTGCAGTTCCATAAAAAGTAGGTAATTTCTTGACTAGCTGAGCAACTACTACCTTCTAAAGGACTCTATTTTGTGCAGTTCATTATATTTACATGTGATAGGTAACATTTTTGTTGTGGACAGAACTACCCCTTTCTGAGGACAACACTCAACAAATTTCTAGGCATGGACATACACACTTGGAGAGGTTATTTCCATGCCCATGTGTGAACATACAGCAATACAAAATGCCCGAGGAAACGTGTGCTTAATTGTAGGATTGTATTATACACATACTGTTGAGTCAAAGCTGCTGTATCAATGTATGTTTGATTGTTAACCAATACACTGCTGAGAACAATCTGACTACTACATGTAACATATCTACTGTTATACTGCTACTTGCTTACTTACTTACTTATTCATGGAGCTGAGCCCTTCCGGAGGAGCCGCCAATTCTGCAGCTACTCAAGAATTTCCCAGCATTTTATGGAACCCGAAGGTTCATTACTATGTTCACAAGACCACTCCACTAGTCCCTATCCTGAGCCAGATCTATCCAATCCATACCATCCCAACCTATCTCTCTAAAATCCATTCTAATACTGTCCACCCACCTATGCCTTGGCCTTCCCTGTGGCCTCTTTCCTTCTGGCTTTCCCATTGATATCCTTTATGCATTCATCTCCCCCATTCATGCTACATGACCTGCCCACCTCATCCTCCTTGACTTGATCATTCTAATTATATTTGGAGAAGAGTACAAGTTATGAAGCGCCTCATTATGCAGTTTTCTCCAAACTTCTGTCCCTTCATCTCTCTTCGGTCCAAATATTCTCCTCAACACCCTGTTCTCAAACACCCTCAGTCTATGTTCCTCCCTTAATGTCAGAGATCATACTGCTACAAGTATTTTAATTGTACATAGCCTGAAACAGGGGAAAAAAAATCACAGGATGTCATATGCATTATACATTCATTCATTCATTCAGTCAGCTGCCTTGTCTCATGTGTGTTATCAGTGTAGCAAATGCTCTGCAGTGTAAGTGGACTGTGATTAACGGTACAGTAGCATCCAGTACACAGAATGAACACAGCATTCACAAACGCAGAATATGCAGATATCCATTTCATTTAAGGGTACTGCAGTGGGAATAGGAGTGCCAGTTGTGGAACACCAGTGGCAATTTCTGGTCCAAAGACACAAATAAAGTAGCAATAATTTTCCTGTTATCTCCTACTGACAAAACCTGATTTCAGGTACATATACAGATGTGGTTATATTGACACAGGTTGTCCAATGATTGAGATTTCCTCTTTCTAATGGTCCCAAAAGAAAAGGTGCACCCCAACTTTTCACCTGAGAATGGAAACAGATCCAGATTTCAAAGCATTGTGTTCTTTAGAAAACTGGCTGATGGCCAAAGTCCAAAAACTGAATAACCCTGACTATTACTTTTTTTGTTACTTGTACCACTGGTACGCATTACATTTTTATTCTATAGCAAAATCTGTTACTCTTACCTCCATCAAATGTTCCCGTCATGCCTGAGCATTTCTTGTATGTAATATTGAATTTCTGATTTGTTATGAGAAACTGTGTTCCTGCTGTCTGGCAAGAGCGAATCTGTGCATCTGGATTATTGCACTCTCCAGTAAATCGGAAACGATTCTACAACACATTGAGTCCATTACATACATAGAATAATAATGACAAGCTAGATGATGAGTGGATACATGCCAATTCTTGTTTTAAGTTAATACATAAGAAAATGTATTAAGAATTATTACACAAAACAAATGGGTTCTTTTAATGCACTGGCACCCTCCTTTATCCTTCTCTCTACATAAGCATATCAGTAAATAACCTGATCTGTCGTGAATCAAGCAGGTGGAATGCAATTAGTTACATGAGGCACACAAGTTAAATAAGTGGAAAAATGTCAACATTTACTGAATTAAAAAATGCATATATTTAACAAAAATAGTACAAATAATGTTCCTCTTGAAGTAAAAAAACACTTTGGCCAATGAGTATGTAACAAAATCCAAAAGAGTAAATGGCCGTAAAAGGAGAAATAAACGCGACTAGTACAGTCTACACATTTCCCCTCTTTCCCGTGGTGAAACCCCCAGCTTTGGGGATATCAGAACAACTTACCTCTGAAAATGACATGTGGACCAAACTCCCTGATCAAGCAGCATTGACAAATGAAATCCTTTTAGAACAGAACCCACATAGAATTTCCAAGCTAACCACCTGATGCACGATATCCCAAAGCAAAGAGGTTGGATGAGCAGCCCTCAGCCCCATTCAAGATCAATATGGGCAGAAAGGTGGAAAGGGCAGGGGGACGCATATAGAAGGGACAAGGCCAAGTCTATACACAGCCCTCTGTATGATCCAACCAGCACATTAAAATGGTCAACATACTTGGTCACATATATCTTCCATTTGCCAGTCTTTACTATGTTGGAATGCAATTTATATTGCCTGGCAGCAATGAACAGGATGATTCCATTACATCCAAATAAAAAGAGTACAGAAGTTCTGGGATGAACTAATTGCCTACTTTACTTCCACTACATATTGAGTATTTGAGTATTTGTTGACACAGAAAACACCTCATCCTCCAATTTTGAATGTGATGTAACATGATGCCTGAAAGCAGCAGTACTGGATCAGAAAAGACAGCCGTTGCTAGGCAACAGATTAGTATACACGTTCCTGCACATGCAAAAAAAAGTTGTTAGGGGGAACAGCAAGGTAATCTCATAAGCCTATTTTTTTTTCTAAATATGGAAAGCAGGCTAAAATAGTGGTTGTTGTTGTTATGTAAGTGAGAATGATAATATCATACAAACTATAAAAAAGCTTCAATCACAATTTGGAGACGTGGAATAAAACTGCACTCAAAGTCACAACCACTTATTCTGTATACGAAACAAATTTAAACTTTAAAGCTGTTATAGATCTGTACGGGAATTTGATTCCATTAACAGAAAAATTAATGCGCAAATGATATGTATGCAGCTTAGTCAGCTGTCCATTTTCTACCACTGTGAATCTATAGTTTATTCACTTACGGAGCCCACAGAGCTTACAACATACAAATAAAGATAAGTGTATCAGGCTTTATTGAATTACTGCTTGCTACATAATTCATAGTATAATTTTTAAGATGTGAGACAGCAAATTAATAATTAGTGGTTTAGACTATTTACAGAATCAATTTCCATACTGAGATGACAAACTTCCATACAAAATCTGCAATTACATGCATACAGTTATTCTACTGAATGCTGAAAACTGTCCTACAGCTATTCTTGCAAAGTTTTAAAAATTTCTATGATAACTTTATTCTCTTGATTTCACAGGAAATGAGGCACAGTATTTTTAACACACCTGATAAGCAAACTGCCAGACACCTTCTAAACTAGACCGGCAGTTAACTGGGACATAATTTTCTGAGAATAATGTTACAATATGCTGATCAGGATTTAACTCCCGGCAGACTCTCTCAACCGTGGGCTCTTCATCACGGGCCAAATTCACACATCCAGCTGCAGAAAAAAAAAAAAGTGCAAAGTTTAGTACTGTTTGCTTTACAGACTAAGTTTAGAGGTTACATAACACTGAACGAATAATGATCCAATATGGCCAAATGATCACTTGGGGGGGGGGGCGGGACACAGCACGCCACGAACAACCACAGGACAACATCAAAGAACTGTCTTCTCAAGAAAGATAGGCAGTACAGGTTCGGCCCCCATCAGGAGAGGTGATAAGAGAGAGGACACGAACCTATTTGGTTTATAAATTCTAACTTAACTAAAAAATTAAAAAAAAGAAAAAAATTAAGATATCAAGACAGCCGCTGTAGTTGTGAAAACTTTGGATTCTGTACCCATTTATGTATTGTCAGCACTGTATGTATATATATCTTAACACTCAAAACACCTATTGTAATAGTGATTTCCAAACTGTATTGATGTCCCTCTGACGATGGTCTCTAATGACCAAAACATGTAAGGGCATGAAGAATTGAAATAAGAAAACCAGTCACACTGGACAGAACTGTTTTATTTTTTTTAAGATCATTTTTTATTTACTGTACAATTCTATTACTGTTTGGACAGACAGACAATACCCAAAACCANCTGTAATTAAAATAAATCTACAAGAACATAAAACCAAATACAGAATTATATAATAAAACAGTATACCAAAACAACTAAGCGAATGGTTTAAAACAGTGGTTCTCAAAATGTGGGGCGCGACCCCCAGGAGGGGCGCAGCACACTTTCCTACAGATAAAAATTAAAACTGCCCTAAATCAATTAGAAAAGTAACAAAAAATAAAAATACATATAGAAAAACTTTTGATGAGTACAGGCTTTAATTATCATGAATTTCAAAATAACTAATAATTATTCTCTTTATCAGCAATTATAAAACGTGTATGCCAGAGACAGCATTGATAGTTCAGCAGCAGCCGCATCCTCTGAAGTCTAGACTTTTTAAAATGCCGTCTGAGGAAACGGGTGCCAAACACACTGCTCTGTTGTTTTTAGCGATGCTCGATGGCTTTCAAGAGGCAAGGTATTAAAGAGAATGTTTAAGCTGAAGCATGAGGTGTTCTATTTTTTAAATTGGGAAAATCACTCACTGGCAGACAGTTTCAGCAACAAGGACTTTTTATTGAAAATGGCTTACCTCATAGATATATTTGAGAAACTAAATATCTTCAACACTTCACTTCAAGGGAATGAGGCAACTGTACCTTCTTGAAATGACAAAGTGAAGGCATTCATGAGAAAATTAGAGCTCTGGAGAAACAGTATGGAAAGTGACATGCTAGACATGTTCCCTACTCTAGTGTCAATGGTACAAGACACTGATAATCCAGTGCTTCCAATGGACAATGTTGGCAACGCTCAAATACTGAAATATAATGTTAGAGTTGGCAACATCGTAGTAAACAATTTAAGAACTAGGTTATGTCTTGTTACCTAAGTGATGTTTACTGTTATGTGTTACTATGGTTATAAGCCCGTATGTGTATATAAGGCATACTTCTGTACCAAATCTAGTGTCTTAATAAAGCAGGAGTAGAGTGAACACTGATTCTCACTTATGATTCCATCCACGTGGAAGTAACAAAAATAACAGGTTATGGGCCCAGGATCGTATCACTGATAAGTGTAAAAAGTATAGAAGTGAAAAGTGTTATTTAAAAGAGATCCTTTGGACTGACGCCACCATCAAGACAAAGAAACAAGTTTCATCATGGCCACTTGGAAGCCCTTCGCGAATATTCATAGGCTCAAAGGACGCGAAAATTATAGAGAATGGTGCTTCGATATTCAAAATATTCTAGTGATTGAAACTGTGTGGTCAGCAGTCGAAGGATATCCTGCAGAAGACTCAACGCCTATATCCATCAAGAAACAAAAGGACGAGAAAGCAAGAGCCATCATTTGTCTGACATTAGAGCCCCAAGTTAAATCTTACGTCGTCCAGACAACAACAGCAAAGGAAGCCTGGGACGCGTTGGAAAGAACATTCAAAGATCAGGGAGTCAATAGTTGGATAAGTATTTTAACTGATTTGTGCTCTTTGAAACTTGAGGACTATAAAAGCATGCAGGAATATGTTAATGCCTTCATGTCAATAAATCTCAGACTAGTCTCAATCGACAAAAAAAAATAGATGATGAGCTATTAGCAGCATTAATGTTAAAGGGTTTAACTAAAGAGTATTATCCCATGCGTATGGCGCTTGAAAACTCCAACGTAACTCTGACTAGTGAGCTCATTAACCTTTTAAAGCCTAAAGGCGACATATGGAGTCAAAAAATAAAGTCAAGGGGACGAATGACTCCATATGTCGTCGCGCAGTCCACGTGTGCGGCCGGCTTTATAAAATCTAATTTTAAGTTATAAATTCTTTTTCTACTTACATGATTTTTGGACACCAGCTTTATAAGTTGTCTCTCTTCCCACCTGCGTCATCTAACGGAATGTTGGCTTCGTGTGGAAATCTTGGAAACATCCGGAAATGAAGAGTCCGACGTCGCACTTCACGCACTTTGTCCGGACGGTTCTTCGTTTCCCATGCGAAAAGCACACACACGACACCTCAATTGTGAAGTAGAGGAAGTCGGCCAGTGATGTGGTTTGGCCTCCTCTAATCGAGATATCTCTGATGAAACGGCAGGGGTTCGACCCCTGGGCCGTTGATGGCGAGGTGGACCCCTTCCAGCATGTTCCGCACAAGAGCGAGACAAAATTCTCTGTGTGACAACAGGATGTAACTGTTCAGATCCAGGAGATGGAAAAATAGTTTATTTGTCCATTTCCAGGTTCAATGACAGATGCTATAACTGTTTGCCACAGTTTGCCCACAGCTATACCTGAATAATTATTCACACTTCTCTTGCCATGCTGGTGTGGTGGTCCCCAGGTTGCCGACCAAGATGATGGTTCTTTGTCGAAATCAATTTCTGATTCACTTTCCTCAACGCCACTCTCAGAATTGTCGGTACAACAATCTGATTTGGAGTCATTTATGAGCTGAAATATGTCCGAGTCTACCAAACGAGACAGCGCAATGGTTGGTTCACAACTTCGCAGAATGCTAACTTTGACACTGCTTGGCTGTGGTATGCTACCCTTGAAAGCTCTTATAATCTACTTCCAGCAGAGTGAGAACAGAGAGCTTGTTGTGTAGTTACAAGCGATAATAAACAATCAGGTTCTTATATACGAATAGATACTCGCTCACATCTCTCCATGCCGAAAGAACGTACGTGACCAGACAAGGAAATGCAAGACTAAACAACTTCTACATTAGCTTCTGCTGTGTTGCCACATCTGCTGCATTCATACTTGCAAGAACTGTATGAATTCTTGTAGAGAGACGACAAATTGGGGATTTTTTTGTTGAAATCAGTCTAAAATTTTTTACACATTTTATAAAGTCTGTAAATTACAATATAATGATTCTATATTCTTTCTAGAAAAAAGCAGCGTTTATTTGGTTCGTTTATCACAAAAATTGTAGAAATCACAGCAATTTTAGTAAATGATTACAATTTTTATTGCTTTATAATTGTGGGCATTTAAATTAAATTGGTCCCGTAGCCATTACCGGAATTTAAAGGGCAGTCTCTTAAATGTTAAATCGNCGACAAATTGGGGATTTTTTTGTTGAAATCAGTCTAAAATTTTTTACACATTTTATAAAGTCTGTAAATTACAATATAATGATTCTATATTCTTTCTAGAAAAAAGCAGCGTTTATTTGGTTCGTTTATCACAAAAATTGTAGAAATCACAGCAATTTTAGTAAATGATTACAATTTTTATTGCTTTATAATTGTGGGCATTTAAATTAAATTGGTCCCGTAGCCATTACCGGAATTTAAAGGGCAGTCTCTTAAATGTTAAATCGAAGCTATTGCAAGACACTGAATTTGGTAAAAATGCAAATTCAGATTCAGCCTTTCTGCCCAAAGATAAGATTAAACGTAAACCAGCAAAATGTCAAATTTGTGGTAAACTAGGCCACATAAACAAAAACTGTTGGTACAAAGATAAGGATAAGGCGAACAATAAGAATCACAACAATCAGCATATGCAAAAATTTAAGAGCAATCAGTCTTCTAAATCAGTTAATAGTACTGATGAAAATAAAGAAGGATTCAATCATAGGTGTAACNAAATGCAAATTCAGATTCAGCCTTTCTGCCCAAAGATAAGATTAAACGTAAACCAGCAAAATGTCAAATTTGTGGTAAACTAGGCCACATAAACAAAAACTGTTGGTACAAAGATAAGGATAAGGCGAACAATAAGAATCACAACAATCAGCATATGCAAAAATTTAAGAGCAATCAGTCTTCTAAATCAGTTAATAGTACTGATGAAAATAAAGAAGGATTCAATCATAGGTGTAACGAAAATAAATGGAAAAATAAGACCAGTAAAAGATCCATGTATATGGTGTCTGCCCATCATGTCAAAGTTAAAGAGAACACTTGGGTAATAGACTCTGGTGCTACACACCATATGACCGGAAATAAGACTATTTTGCAAAATTATAAAACCCATAAGGAACATGAAGTAACCCTTGCTGATGATAACATGTTAACCAGTGCAGGTTTTGGTGATGTAAAACTTATGAATGACAATTATAGCCATATCTCAGATGTATTGCATGTACCGGGATTGTCTACAAATTTGTTGTCTGTAAACTCAATTGTAAATAAGGGTACAATTGTGTTATTCACCAAAGACTGTTGCAAGTTATATGATTCTGAAGATTTTCAGGTAAGAGGCAAAGTTCTTGCCAAAGCATATCCTGAAAATGGGATTTATTGTTTAAATATCAAAGTTAACATGACCCAATCTGCAAATATAGCAACTAAAGATAAGATTAATACCAAAAAGAAAAATCACAAATGTGAAAAATCTTGTATTAATACTGTAAAGAATGAACAAGTTGCAAGTACCCAGCAAGTTGATGAACAACTGNGTTTTCAGATCCCCGCAATCCGTCTCAAATAATTGTGGCAAGAGATGTAGAATTTCTGGAAGAAGAAATAACAAACAAGAAAGAAAGTGAGAAAGAATTTCAGCTTAAAGACATTCTTCCAATGTCGTTAAATGTCTACCTCGACTCACAAGATGAAGCAATGATTCCGCATGAACAAAACCCTGAAGCAGAACAAGTACAAGATGAAGGAAATGAAGTTCCATTAGAGCCAGACGGTTTAGAACAATTACAAGGAAACTTGGAAGAAAGAAGATATCCACTTCGAAACAGGAAACAGAAAGAATTTCCAGATTTTGTTACCTACT